AATAGGAAAAACAAAACATGTACAAGTATTTAACTTAACAGCATTTAAATGTTATTTTAAATTAGAAATGTTTGCCTCATAAAAAGTTAGATATTTTCTGCTCATAATCAGTTCATTTATGTAGAAGCTGTTTACATTTCAATGGCATACAGTACAGTAATAGTTGTATATTTCTCAAAATATTAGGAATTCAATGTTATAACTGTTATTTTTAGCAGAAGAAATACATTTGAATTCCATCCTTATTTGAATCTGATTAATTTGTGATGATTGCTTTTCACTATATCAACAAAATATGAAATAAGGCTTTTTATTTGAAAGTAGATTGCAAATAATCATAGTGTTCAGTGTTGAAGCAGAGAGTATCTGAGAGGAGACCCCACTACTGTCTTCAGGAACGAAAGCTGTGAGCCTGAGTGTGTGTGACTTCCTGGACCAGCCCAGAGCTGCAGGAGTGCTTTCAGGACTGAGGCCAAGATGAGGAGCACGGGCTGAGCTCTCCTCTCATAGCGACATCAACCCCATCTTTCCACACGAAGCAGAACAGGTATCACCTGGACATCAGACATCAGAGATACACTGACGAGGAACCAGTGCCAGTTTCTACAGGCTGTAGTCTAAAACAAGAAACACCAAGGACCTAAGCTCCTGTCCCAAGCCCCTTTCTTCCAGCTTCACCACCAAACACATTTTAAGACATTTGTACCAGTGTCCATCACTCTTGTGACTGTCCAGCTACCTTTCAGTGGTGCAATTCTAGACGTTTAGTAACTGTAATTTGCAATGACTTCATCTATAGCTACTGCAACAGTTAATCAATCAAAGATGAATTTCATTTCTTTTTGCTCCATAATGTTGGTCTGTAACAGACGTATGTTTCCAAGTGTTGTAAAAATCCATGACATTCATTTTGGTGTCTGTAAAGCAGCGCTTTGAAAAGAGCTTCATTTTCTGATCAGACGGACACATTGAAATCTGCTCTTTCCCTGAGAAAGATAAGGAGCCAGAGCTCAAGCCATCATCACAATGGTTCACCTCCACTCTGATTGCAGCCTGGTAAGACGTACTGCAAATATAGTTAATTAATTAATTAATTAATTAATTAATTAAGAGAGTGATGTCATCATAACATTCTTACCTTGCACTGGGATTGCCAAAGCTCTGCGTTGCTAAGCCCCCACAACTTTTGAAAATTGTAATTCCCTACAGAGAGGGGGCTTTCAGGAGTAAAGGGCATGGATTGAACTTTCGAGTTTGACCCCACGTTTATCTTTCCCTTAGAGCCTAGGATGGAGGAGTTTGTCACAAGCCCCCTAAACACTGACACCGATTCCAAACACTGAGCCAAGAGCAGGTTCAGCTTGTTCACAAGTGTGTCAGGAACCAAGCAGAAAAGTGCCTGTGGAATGAATGATATCCAATACACCAATACACTCTCTGAATACACTTTCATTCTGCGGTTTCTCGATCTCCTGATGTACACAGCTGTTAGAAATATGAGTAATTAGTATTAGAAAATTCTAAAGTTCTCTTGATGAGCAGCTGTCATGTCTCCATTAAGAGCAGTCCTGCAGCTGATGGTGATGATGAACGGCCTGTCTTGAGGAAGAGGAAGACTCAGCTGTGCCCGAGTGTCGTTTCTACTCTTCACATTTCTACTGTAGATCAAACTGCCTGGTGTTCCTGTACTTTCATGAGCTTCTTGGTAACTTCATGTCTCTTGTCTGATGTCAGAAATGGCTACATCCTGCTCTGCTCCTAAACCACGTGATTCACACGACGACTGAGGAGGCTCTAGTACATCGAGACAAGCCTGGAGAAAGCTCACAGACCAAGATCACTTACATGGAACTGACCAACAGGCTTCTCCACCTGTGCGCTTCCTCATCAGAGAGGTAGTCAAACTGGCTTGATGAGCCCAGCTCCTCCTGTCCTCTAGGTTGTGGCTTCTCTCATGTTCTTGAAGAGGCCCATCTAAGGTCATAGCAGACAGATGTGGTTTGTGAGCTGTGAGCCTCAGTCTCAGCGCAGTCAGAGGTGGCTGGTTTCAGGCATCTGATTCCTGTTTCTCACTCCAGAAACTGCAGCAACAGCTTCAGAAGTGACACACAGGCATTGTCCACACGGACATGACAGGTGGGTGCCTACAAATTTAACAACTTTCTACACAGTTTTTTTTAGCAATTATGTCAATTGGAAGCATCTCAGCCTATTGGAAACGCAGAAATAAGAAGAACATTCATGTATCTCTGCATTGTACAGTACACGCATGTAGAGGTGTAAGAATATAATAACAAGGAAACTGTTCGTGTCTACCTGTGTCAACTGTCAAAGGACTGTTGTGTCAATGGTTCTGTACAGAGTTCTTTCTACAATATTTGTGTTGTACGAGGCTGTGTCTTTTGTACAAATGATGGCAGGATACTTCTCTATAAGCTCACTGGACACAGCAATGAGGACTAGCTCATAAAGGAAACCAATATTTGTGTTACATGTTCTACATTGTGTTCTTGGCTTTGTAGATAATATTAGGATGCATATTTCAATTACTGCTGGTATTTTAAGTGAAGATTACTCTTTAAAATCTTTACTATAGTGGCTTGAAATCAATGGTGTTCAGAGAAAATAACATATTCATTATGCACCTATAGGACACACTCACACATATGCGCAGTAGATGTATTTTACATTTAGAGAACGAAAAACAAGCTGTCAATCTCAATTAGACGTTGTTATCCTTTATACATTCAAAACCAGGAGAAAATTAAGTGTTTAGGGTTCTTAAGACACAAAGAAATACCAGTGCTGTAGATGATTTCCAGCTGTGTATCTGTACTTGTTGATCTCCTTGTCTGTATGTAATCAGAGTGTATTTGCTTGTAAGGTCGAGGTGCAGCTCCAGGTTCTTGTAAATCACATGACTGCTGATAAACTCCGACACAGTGCTGAGATCTTTAAAGAAGGTCGTTAGTGTCCCCTGGAGCTCCATCTCTACAGCAGACTTCCTGTGTGTGTGGTTTGACCTGTGTGAGAATCCTGCAGCTCTCTCACATCTTATTTTCTACTTGGAATGGAAATGCAAGGGATTAGGATAAAGAACCTCTGTAAAGAAAACGGTTTAAGCTGATTAAACCTTGTGGTACACTCTAGCAGTCATGCAGGACCTCGATCAAATCACAAAAGTCTTTGAAATTCACATTCATGATCAGTCAGATTCCTGTCAGGACACTGAACCTCGCTCTCCCTCTGGGATGTGTCCAGTCCCTGTGTGAGCCGGTGGGTCTCTGGGTGACTTTTTGTGCACACGAGACGTCAGACAGTCTGTGCAGACCTCTCTCCTAGAGAAAGCAATCCTCTCCTCTCCACCATTTCTGAGTGGCCTCAGGGCCATGAAGAAGAAACTTAACTTCACAAGGTCATAACTGTTGACTCTTGACAGAGTCTTCCCGTCTTCGTCTCCAGATATTACTCCATTAACTGACTATTTAAGTACCCATCTAGTCTGCTTCATCAAGTCCAAGCAGAACCCATCTAGCTTTGGCAATGATGACGGCTCCTGGCATCCAGATTAAATCAGACATGGGACTGAAAGCAGTTCTGCTCAGAGTCACTGCCCAGGCTGTCTGATTCTGTTTGTGTCAACGTCCTCAGGAGTGATCCTGCACGTTTTCTCTTCCAGGGTCAGAGCTGAGGGTCGTTCTGCTGGGAAAGACAGGATCTGGCAAGAGCAGCTCAGGAAACACCATCCTGGGAAGAGACGAGTTCAAAGCAGAATGTTCGTCCAGGTCTGTAACACAGTGGTGTCAGACAGGAACCAGTTACATCGGTGGCAGACGTGTCACTGTGGTCGACACACCAGGGTTTTTTGACACAAATCAACCTGAAGAAGATCTGCGACGTGAGATAGTGAGGTGTGTCACTGAGTGTGCCCCAGGACCCCACGCCTTCCTCGTTGTGTTAGAGGTGCGAACATATACCCCTGAGGAGAGAGAGGCAGTGGAGAGGGTTCAGATGCAGTTTGGAGAGGAAGCTCTGAAGTTCACCATGGTCCTCTTCACTCATGGAGAGAAGCTCAAACACAAGAGCATTGAGCAGTTTGTGCAGGAGAACGAGCAGCTGAAGGGGTTTGTCCAGAAATGTGGAGGCGGGTGTCACGTTTTCAACAACGAGAACAGGAGAGATGAGAATCAGGTAACAGAGCTGGTGAAGAAGATCGAGGACATGGTGTGGAAGAACAGAGGAGGTCACTACACCAACGAGATGCTAAAAGCAGCACAAGCCGCCATTGAGAAAGAGGAGGAGTGCCTTCGACAGGAGAGCCCAGACCTAGACCCCTCTTCAATCAGAAAGCTGGCCAAAGAAAGAGTTGCAAAGAAAATGTTAAATATTCTAGCAGGAACAGCGACAGGAGCTCTACTGGGGGCTTTTCTTGGGG